GGGCCCCCCCCCCCCCCCCCCAGTGCCTGGTGAGCACTAGGACGCGGCTGAGAAGGGCACAGAGGTGGATGAGATCTCAGCAGACTTCACAATGGTGATGACGCTGGTGGTGGCCACCTTAGTGGGTGCCACAGGCCCGCGGGCCACAGTGCGGGCAAAGGTCTGCAGGGCCTCGTACTTGGAGCGCAGGGCGTCCAGCTCCAGCCGCATGCTGCTGTTTTCGCGAGCCAGCTTCTCTACCTCCTGCTGCAGCTCCACCCGCTGCCGCTCCAGCTCCTCCTTTTGTGTCACCCGTTTGATGCGGCAGCTGGCGGCGTAGCCGCGGTTCTTGAGTGTGCGCCGGCGCTGCTTCAGGCGGGTCACCTCCTCCTTGGTGAGGCCCCGCAGGTGCTGGTTCAGCTCCCGCACTGACATGGACACCAGCTCATCATCACTGAGCACTGGGGCGTTCTCGCCCACCTCCTTCTTGACCTGCAGGGACCACAGTGCAGGGTCAGCACTGGGAGGGCCAGGGAGGCATGGGGAGAACTTGAGGTGTCCATGCCGGAACTAGTACTGCAGTCACCAAGGGCCTGGTTTCTGGCAGCACAAAGACCAACAGTACCCCTCACTGCCCTCTATCTGGGGCTAGATGTCACCTTCTGCTCCTGGGAGTGGGGACAGTACCGTGGAGCTGCTCGGCACTGTGCACATAGGCAGCCCATGTGGCAGCAGCTACTGTCACTGTGCCCTCTTTGAACAGGGAAGACCTGATGGCTGTTCCCTTAGGAAGGGCAGTGGTGATGTCAGCAACTACCCAGTTACTGTTGGCCTCCCAAGCTCTGTGAAGACATGAAATGCATGTGCCCTACCAGCTATGAAGCTCCAGTGCCTGGAGCCCCGACACCGACAGGAGCTCAACCAGCCCTTCTAGGGTGAGCCATGGGAGGGCACAGCAGCCCACCCTTCCCTCCCTCCTTCCACGCACCCATCAGTGCAAAGCTACGGTCTGGCCAGACAGGGTTCCATGGAGCTGACAAGGACCTCGGAAGAAGTTGGGAGGTGCACAGCCCACCCAGGCACAGAGCCTCAGCTCTGCATACAGCTTCCAGGAGCCCCCAAGATGACACAGCTGGCCCACAGGCACACCGAAGTCACAGAAGCTGAAATGTCTCGGGAGGTGGCAAGCCCTGGGCACAGACCCTCAGAGCTGGAGCACCCCTTTCACTGCCCACACCCGGTGCTGGGAGTGATGAGCTCAAGCAGAAGCAGGGCCTCATGGACACACGGACGCAGCCCTGGCTGGCAGGCACCCACCCCTACCACCTCCTCAGGCTGGGAGTCATCTCCCTGCACATCAGGGCCAGGGTCCCCTGGGGCCACAGTCTCCAATTCTGTCACCCACTTCTTCTGCTGACAACTTCCTCCCAGCCCACAGTGCCCCCACCCTATTCCTGGTAGCAAGGCTGCCTTCCACACATCCTAAGGGCAGCTCTCGGAAAGAAGAGGCGCCCAAGCTTGGAGGAATCCCTCTCATGCCTGTGCTGGGGACAGTGATGGGGGTCCGCCCTGAGCCACTCCCACCTACTGCCTTACCTTTAATGCCTTGTTCGGTTTGGGATTAGTCGTCATAACCTGGGCACAGTCACCAGGACAGAACTGCTTGGAAATCGTAACTAGAAAAACACAAAAGAGCACACAGAAGCAAGAGTGGGTTAGGCCTTGGCAGGCTCGAGACTGGCTGCAGGGATGCTCCGAGGAGACTCAGCTCCTCATCCCATGCTGCCTGGTCACAGTGCCCTAAAAACAAGACAGGACATTGTCATATTCCAACCTGTCCCAAGGGGCTTCTTGCAGGGGATGGGGCATCCTGGCCTATAGCACCTCACACTCCAACATCAGCCCAGAGTGGCCAGGATGCTCCCCCCTCACCCAGGGCCCAGCAGACACATACTGTCTCCTGCTGTCCCCCACCCCCGGGCCTATTCTAGAGCCACCAGCGTTGTGACAACATCAGCCCAGAGTGGCCAGGATGCTCCCCCCTCACCCAGGGCCCAGCAGACACATACTCTCTCCTGCTGTCCCCCACCCCCGGGCCTATTCTAGAGCCACCAGCGTTGTGGGGTGAAGAGCAGGTGTTAGCAATTGCTGCCTCCTGTTCTGACGCCCCTCCTGAACTCAGACAAGGCAGGTGCACCAGTGAAGCACAAGGTGCTACATTTTAAAGACCAAAGTAGCAAAACCACCTCCCAAGAGAGGCTCTGCCAGCACCTAAGGAGTGCAGTTGGCCCTACCAGACAGCGTCCCTGCCCTGGCAAGAGCTCCTATTACTCCAGACTCAGCCTGGCACCCAGAGAGGAAGGGTACTTTTGGGGAGCCCCTGCCCTTGCCAAGCCTCACTCCCAAAGATGGACCTGGGTGGAGCACCTGCCACCTCTCCCCGGCCCCGCCCTCCCCGCAGTCCCAAGAGATACCTACCGTGGTGAAGGGCACTGCAGCTGTGACATCACCACCGCCACCTAAGCTACCCCATGCGCCATGACCCTGCACCCAAAAGGTGGGTGGGGGCTCCCAGCGGGCAGCAGGTTCAGAGGCCGCGTCCAGAAACCCGAGAGGTGGGGAGCCACTGCCTCACCAAGCTAATCGACTGTCTGGCAGGAGTTGTCCCCGCCGCCCGCCCGCCAGCC